AATCTCCTTCTCCCAACACGCCAAGCATCGTACGGTCAAAAAGCAAAAAACACGCAAAGCACCGTAATTCGAAGACCGGCTACCCAGGTTTTCCACTGTACGGATAACGAGGAAAAAAAAAAATCATCCGGTAAGGCCTAAGGGAACGTTTGGTTGGAAAAAAAATGTTTTCTCGACTTTTTCGCTTGCTTGATCCTTGATCCTCGAGTTATTATTTATATTTTTTAATTAATTTTTATTACGTGAAACGTATTAACTAAATTTTTTATTTTTTATTAAATTAATAAATTAATAACTCAATAATATTTTAATAAAATTTTATTTAAAAACTTACTAATTTTTCATATATTTTTAATTTTTTATATAATATTTTTTAAATTAAAACTTTTTCAATAAAGGTAATACTTATTAAATAGGTCTAAATAGAAACATTAGGGGAGTTTTTTTCGTAATGAGATTCGATGCCATTTGATTTTAAATTAATTAAAATTTAATGTGATTACCGAATGTTAAGAGATTAATATAAAAAAAATTATAATTATTATTAGTATTAAATTTGTTAAAACTATTAAAATGTTAAATTTTTATGATAATTTTTTCCTTATTAAAAATTATTAATAAAATAATTAATATTTATTATTTAATATATTAAAATTAATTTACAAATAAATGTTTTAAAATATCATAATTAATTATTTAAAAAAAATTTAAACTAATAAAATTACAATAAATTAATTATTTAACAAAAGTTATGGTGACCTGTTAACAGACGCTAACTGAGAAAAAAAAAAAAAACCGGTACCGCCGGTTTCATTGCCCCCCCTGAACTGTATTAAGCAAAATCCATTTTTCTCTTTGGGTATTTTCGAGGCAGTTACTGTTATCTCATCGGAGAACTTCATTATTCCGTTTCCGGTCAATCTCCTGGTCGCGGATCCCGTCCAGTTACTCCTGGGGTGGGTAATTTCGCTATGTAACTGTCTGTTTGAGAAATCGGGGCTGGTTCGATTTTGTTCTGATTTGTTGAATTCGCCGATGATGCCTGATCATTTTTGTTAATAAATCGGTGTGGTATCATGTTACAGTGGAGATTCTGTTTCTGACTAATTTTCCAGCCTTCCTTTTCTCTCTGTTTGAATTCAGGCTGTATGTGGATTGATTTATATGAAAGTTGGTTACTTTGAACTGATTTTTGTTTAGATTGATTATAGCCTTTTGATGTAGATGAAGCTTATGCAATTCCTTTTTTTGTTTCTAATTATCTACTCCTATGTGTTAATTCGTACATATATATAATTTTATAATTTATAGCATGATGCTGGCTTTTGAATTTGAACCCATTGATAAGCTTGGCTGGAATGAAGTTTCTTAGAATCTGTATAATTCAGTTGTTTAGGAATTGGGATGGTTAGGTAGTTTGCGTGTAAGGGCATGTGAGTTCTGTTGTGTTTGTTAATGTGTGATGAGACTTGCCCTTTCCTGCCTGACCCTCAAGTTCTTGGGTAAAATGGAAGTTGATTGTCTAGATTTTTCTGTGATTAACCTCATAAATGTTGATTTAATATTTCAATGTCTGTGAACTCTAGGTATTGTTAATAACCACTAAGGATGGCAGATAAGGAGGAGGGAGAGGTAAATAAATCAGATGGGAATAAATGGGAAGAGGAAAATATCTCTCGTGGGAATGAGCTGGAAGAAGAAAATAAATCTTGTGGGAATGATTTGGAAGAGGGAAATACCTCTCATGGGAACGGGTGGGAAGTAGTTTCACTCACTGCATCGGCATATGCTGCTGCTCCTGGTCCGAGAGAAGTTGAATCAAAGGATGATAAAGAGCGTGATACATATGGAGAGGATGAAATTTCACGTGCTTTGTTCATGTCTGGCCACTTTGTCTTCCCACGTAGAGAGCATGAGAATCTGCCTATGGAGTTTCTCAAACCTGATAAAAGTGAGATTCAGAATGAAAATGTTGGCAAGGATGCAGCATCTGAGTTTGGTGTGCAAGAAGGCAGTAGATCTAGTGGAAAGGATGGAGAGGATTGGAATTTGAAAGGGTTGAATGTACCTGATGAGTATACAGGGATGCAATTGTATGATGAGAAGGGTAACAAACTTCCCATTCACAGCACAGAATTTGAGGAAGATGCAACCCTGCAAGGATTAAATTTGACTGATGAGGAACAGAGTTTATACAGTGCATATGACAGTGAAGCAGAACTTGGTAAATCAACCATCTATGGTGAGAATACAGCCACTGCTGAAATAACTGAAACTTCTGAGCAAGGTGTAGGTTCCCCTGCAGATATGCCTCATTCCCCACAGACTGGACAGGATGATAAACATTCTGGCTCTGTCCTCCCTTGTGAAGCCTGGTGGAAGCGAAGGATGCTATCCTTGTATGCTCACGCAAAAGAGGCAAATCATTATTGGTCCATTTTCGTTGCAGCTGCTGTGATGGGCCTTGTACTTCTTGGGCAGCAGTGGCAGCAAGAGCGGTGGCAAGCATTGCATCTTAAGTGGCAGCAGAGTATACGGAATGAGGTATGCTGATAATCTCCAGATATAAAACATTAAAACTTAGTCATTTTATGCATGATATGTAGTTATTTATCTTTTATATTTCAAAGTGTGTTAATGGATTGGATATCCAAAATATTTTCATTATTGCTTATCACTTGAAGCTAAAAAATAAAGACTTTATAGCTTGCTTGTTGGCTTGGAAACTTCTGAATAATGGGATCAGTGCAGATCTGGACCTGTTCATTGTCTTGCATGCATGTTAGTACATTGATGCTATGGCTATGGTGTTTTCATCTATCTCCCCAAAGTATCTTGATGATATGATCTGAATTCAACGGTCAAAGAGTTTAATACACTCATTTTAAAATTGGAAATTTGCAGACTGGTTGTGCAATATATACCTTGAAGAAACTGGTTGTGCATGTTTTGGAGGACTGCATGGTATATAACTCAGTGAATCTTCTATATTTCACTCTCACCTCATAGTCCATACTGATATTGACTTTTATCTTGTTGGTTAGTGCTTAATGTGGTTCAGGGATTATGTGTGTTGGCTATTGACCATTGAAGTATATGTTTAGCCAATGAACTTTCTCTTCTCTTGGCTCAAGTGCTGCTCCTCAGTTCTTTCATATGTTGCTGTCTCTACTGATTCCATTTTTGTTTCTGTTCTTTGACAGCATGGTCGTATGTTGGGTCCCATATCCCGACTTAAAGATGTGATTGTCGGTGGCCACCGCCGTGGTTCGTTTGTGAGAGGCAGTGCCTCCAGTGATTGTTAAGATGACGACGACGAAGACGTAAAAGTAGAGAGATAGAGATTTTGGGTGTTAATATAACCTTGGGTGGTTGGTGTGGTTTACTTATTTGCTTTTGTGCTTAAAGCTACATAGCTACATTTTAAGAGTTTTATGTGGTTTGTGTTTCTAATTACTCCTGCCATGGATGCAACTCTTTAGTGCCAACTGCCAGCCCACTTCTGCACTGATTTCACATGGAGAGTTTAATTTACTCAATCGTCAACTTTCAATTGGGTGGTAATCCTCACGCAGACATCGGATGCCACATTACAAATATAATGAAATCAACTGAATTTTTATGTGCCATAGTTGCAGAGGTTGCCCAAATATGAGTTATTGACAATAAATTTTTTTGAAGTAAATGTCAAATGCATTTGGTAAAATTTTTGACAAAAGCATCAAATAAGGTCTCAACTTTCACACGTTAAGCAATTGAGCACCAAATTTTTTTGTTAATTCAATAATATAATAACACAATAACTTCACTTTAAAAATTCAAATCCACAACTATTTAAAAAAAAAAAAAACTTGGTAAATTAAGAAAATCACCTTTGAAGTATATGTTTGGGTATAACTTATAAAAGAGAAAAAAAATTAGGAATAAAAAAGAGGGCAAAAGCCTAAGAATAGCCTCTTATCTTGATAAGTTGGACGGTTTTGACCCCTCACCTTATAATATAACAGTTTTAACCCCTAACCTATAAGAATGGAAGCAAATAGCCCTTTTTTGTAACTTCCGTTAGTTGAGCTGTTACCGTCCGTTAGTTGAGCTGTTACCGTCTGTCACTTCCGTCCCTTCCTCCGTTATCTTTCCGTTAACTTTCTCAAAGCTTCTCCAAGAAGAGCCTGCTGCATTTTTTTTGGAATTCAAACCTTTTTTTTTTTTTTTGAGAATTCTAACATTTTTTTTT